GATATGTAAAACCATAGAACTCAAAGAGGGTGTACTTTCTTTTTCACACGACTGTATGTGTGAATGTTATCGAAATGGCAGGCACAACAGGTAATCAAAGTCCTGCCCCTAATTATGTGTTTGAGATACATGTGACACATGTTAAAAAGGGGTGGAGCTTTGATGTCTGGTCATGGCTGCCATCTTAATATCATTGACCCTGCCCACCCCCCTTGCACATGTCCTTGACTGTGTAGCCAACTCTAACTCTTGTGTGCTCCGGTTCAATTCTTTGCACTGTTCAAATCTAAAGCACTGTGCATCCTTCATTATCAGACTGGTTTTGATTTCAAAATAAACATGATGTATATCAGTGTTTTTATGAGCAGAACATTGCTTGTAAAATGATGTAGCTGTGAAGGAAAAGATAAGCACAAAACAAAACTCTTCTGCCCTGCCTTTCAAATACAGCCCCTTCGATAGAACTCCAAAGAACTGGATAACTGGATGTTATTAAAAATGTGATTATCTTTGCAGATATTTTTTTCTGATGAAGTAATTACACAAAGCAAATTGTGACCTGTGTAATTTGTAAATATACAACTACATCCAAGATTTACAAGGCATCTTACTGTGTTCGATATTTACTACCATATGGAGGATTTATTACCATATTTTTACACATGACGGATTCTACAATGTGATGCTGTTATGGAGAGGTTATTAGATCTGTTGATCTATTTACATTTTTTTTAAGTGTCTTCTCTAGCTAGATGAAGGTGGCTCCAATAAGAGGAATGGAAATTATAGAGCATTGTCAGCAGGGGCATCTGAGAGGGGTGAGTGTAAAGAAAGTCAGGATGGTAGCTACAGCCAAGTGAATGAAGCTCTGCTCCTTTTTTACATGTGTTGTGTATACAACACAATAAAGGCATGGGGTTTTGATGACCTCTATCCTGGCTTCTCCCTGCCTATGCCCCTGATTGCTAGAACGATAAAGCACTTGCTCCATCCATCTGCAGTAATCCTCTCTATGCTGTAGGATATCACTCTTGTTATCTACCAGATTCCATTCTCCACCAGGCTTTACTTTTGTTTAAAAAATGGGAAATGTTTAACAGTGCCATTATCCAGCACCATCTTTTATTTCCATGGGCAATCTCAGAAGGTAAAAGTGGTGAGTGGTTTTATTTGCTGATCTACTGAAGAAAGTGCAAGGGAATACTTGGAAAGCGAGAAGGTGTGGTAAAGTGGCTTTACACCTTAAAATCCCAAAATGTGGCCACAACGTCTCAAAAGCCCAGATGTGGCCCAGAATGCCAAAAGTTGTTTTCTCTGAACTGTACTCACAGATTTGGGTGTGTCCAGTATACTTTTTAGCCATTTCAATGAGATGAATCCCACCCACCCTGGAATGGGCAAAACCTAGTCATGCAGTGCTTTTTAAAAAGTATAGATCAAGCCTTGATCTATACTTTTTAAAAACCAAACTTAAAAAGAATACTGCTCTTAATTGCTGCAATTTCAACCCGGTTTTGAATCACGGATGTTCAGTGACATTTGTGATTACCTAATACTAGATATGTGTGCATATGCAAATATGCTTTGATAAGATAGATAGTCCTTAAAATAATAACAGAGGAAAAAAAAAACCTTTGCATTAGCTTACTCAGACTGCAAGAAATTATATCTAACTATTATGAGTGAACTATTGTTGGTTCACTCGTTATATGGACGGGTTTAACAACTGGCTTTCTTTCCTGTCTTTATTTCTAATATAAGCTGTTAATTCTCTCAGGAATTGCCATTTGCATCCACCCGTTTCACTTACTATCAGAAGAAAAGCACAGTGGTTATTAGTAGCAATGAAAGCATTTTTGGAATCCAGAAAGTAAACCGTCCCAAGAATTATGAAAAGTCACAAAAGATCAGAGATATGCTGGTTCTTCACACCTTGGTGAGAATACAGATCTTAGGAGAATGGTTCCAATGATGCTGAAGTTCCTTTATGAAGTCACATCCATTTCTACTTATCCCTATCACAATTTAACAACTTGTATCTCATCATTAAAATGCAAAAGTTTAAGACTAGGGATACTGTTTCTGTGCATGCCTAGAAATGTCAAAAGGTCTCAATCTAGAGGGATCAAATCCATGTTCACTATAGATTTTGGAAAGTTGAT